AGGGAAAGGAAAAATACACGGGGAGAATAATAAGAACGGCGAGTGCATTGGTGTAGAAAAAATTAGGGCCTTGCTTTGTTTATATAGAAACATTTCCGATAGTGTGATTAAAGGTTGTTTGCCTAATAAAACTTTAAAAAAAAAACGGTGACAGGATAAAATAGAATAATAGATTGGTGCCGTGGATGGAGAAAGTATATCTGGCTCTGCTCCGGAATTTATTGGGGTTCGCCTTCGGCTCACCCAATAAATTGCCCTCCGCCTCGCCAGAATAAAACTTTCTCAATCTCACGGCACCAACCTATTATTCTCTATATCGTGTTTAACCAATATCTGAGGTGATTTCATTGTGTCCGTCAATATATAAGATTAAGAAACTTTGATATATTTTTGTTTACTGATAAAAGATACATAGTCACAATGTAGCTATATAAGTGGGTATGAAAATGACAGTAAAATCTACTTCAATAGGGTAACTTGTATAAAAAAACGAGTGAATAAAGATTTTTATCTTTGATAAATCCCACTGTAATTGTCTGGTGTAAAATTAGATTAATTTCCATGACGGTGATAACCTTCAAAGCCATGCTGTTAATAAAATCATAATTGACGCGAATCGCACAAAAAAATAATAAGTTTTTTTTTTTCATTTTTATTTAATTCAAAAACAAGATTTTTTCACAGTTCAGTAAGTTTTGATGACTAAGTAAAAATAGCCTTTTATTTTGAAGAAATATGAAGTTTGTTATCTTATATAACTGTTCTGTCTCCATTTTGAATTTGCGGTTTTGTAACAATTTAGGTTCAAAAATTCAAACAAACGCAATCGGATTATTTCTTTTTTGAATGATTCATTTTTAAATAAATAGTTATATTTGTTTAAATTGCTTAAGATTTGAAAACTGTTTAAGAAGTAAAAATTATTTACATCTTTAGAAAGTTTATTATAATTTTATCTCATAACCAGTGTGTTAAACTGATTAAAACTTAAAAGATATATTTTTGAAAATATTTCCCGATTTTCACCACATGCTCAATGACTAAAGGAAATAAAAGTCTGTAAACCTTATGATATTACTTTGTTAAGGAATGCAATTTGAAGACAAGCAAAAAAAAAAGAATATATTGTACAGCTTATACATGTACTTTACTCAATCTTGTGAAAATGACAACATTTAATACAATCTTTTGTTAACCCTAATTAACATACTAAATATCTTAAATGGACTTGTCCACCACCTCTTAACATGGACAAATCAATTGCATGCCATCTGATCATGGTCTGCACTAAATTGCTATTCTGTTAAGTCTATATTTTTAAATTTTCCCTAAAACTGATGAAAGCTTTTGTCCAGGTTGAGAAATTAATTAGTTTCTTTAATGTAGTTAGCTGGTAATTTTGCCAATATCGTTTTTTCCATTGTTCATCATTTAAATTTTTCTTGGAAGTTGGAAAGTTAAATTGAGTAAGAACATGTTCTGAAATTGTCAAAAGAAAAAAGAAGAAAATCAAATGTGTAACTCAGAGTAATATACATGACTGTATTAATATTATAATGGATGTATTTTTCCAGAGACTTACAAAAAATTGTATAATTCTTGTAAATCATATGAGTTTATTTATTTTATTGGATGTCATTGGGGTGCATTAGCGCCAGCTAGCACCCTTATAGCATTATGAATAATCGCTTACTATGGTTTCAACACATCTCTATCACACTGGTCAAAATAGGTTCAAGACTTTGTCATGGTATTTAAGAAATCATAATTACCCTTTCTAATTTAAAACTGACTGGCCATTTAACTACTAAAATTTCAATCCTTTTTTTATTTTTTTCCAGTAAATATTGATCAAATAAGAAAACATGAAGCTAGTCAACAGGGGGTACCAGCAGGTACGGGAGGAACCAGAAAACCGGTGAGACGACAGAATTCTAGACGACATACCCTCTCTAGTGGAATAGACTATAATGTGGTATGGTATTTTATTATTCGTAGCTACTTCGTAATACATTACAATTTACATATTATGAAATAATAAGTTGGGTTTATATAACTATGGATCAGTTTTTGAATATTTCTGTATTGTGTTTTACTTAGATTTGATACCATATTGAAATTGTTAAAGAAATATATATGCACAAATATGACATATCACTGGTACAGACATATTCAATTCAGACCAAAATAATTTTATTGTAATGATGGAAAAAAAGAATTTGTAAACTTGGATTTTGTAATATTTTTATGATTTCAGCCTGTATAATTATATGTATGTAAATGTTCAATTGCACTAAGTAAGTAAGTTAAGTAATGTTTAATAATATATTTTGATTAACTCAGATCATGACTTTGAAATATTTTACTGTTCCTTTTTGGATCATTAATTCTAATATGTTTTGTGCTGAACAATGGATATAGTAATTACTGTTTTAACATAATATATTTTCACCTTAAGGCTTTCCTTTTTAGCTGGCAGGTGTAAAAGATAATCCTCCTTTTAAAGGGGGATCCCTCTGAAGCAATGAAAATAGTATAATGACATATGCAGACTCTGTTTGATTGAGTCTGTTCATGAAAAATAATGTTTAAAAGTGCAACATCTCTCAAGCCCCTTAATGCCTAACAACAGCTTAATTCAACACTGATATGCTGGGATCAATGTTCTCAAAAGACCTAAAAAAATATCAACACAAATTTAGATGCAGAATCTGTGCTATTTTATCAGACATGGATTTAGCTGAAAATTTTCAGATAAAATTGGGATTTATAGAGAAGTCCCAGCTATGTTATCTTTTATGAATTTATTTACAGTATCTTTTTTTTGAGTATCTTTTTTTTGACAGCCCACAGAGAATTGCATTGTTAAGCTAATTTGCAAATATTTATCAATATGTATACAGCTACTACCAGCCCTCTTCTTCACCAAATTCAATCAACCATCTAAGAATTTTGCTCTTGAAAAAAATTTGGAGAAACCCTCTCTAAAATTTTAAAAAGTTTTGTCAAAAATTTTAAAAAAGGGAAAAGTGCTAAAATAAACAAAAAAAGAGTATAAGTATGCCCCCATACCTATTGGGGGTGAATAAAAATAGCGTTCCAACCTATGACGGAAAGGGAAAAAGTTTAGTTTCGACTATTTCTTACTGGAAGCATAGTTTTTAGGGAAAACCTTTCCCTCAAATATCATATTGCAGGGTTATTATTTTGTTCAAAAACTTAAATTTTTTCAAAAACTGACAATGTTTAAAATAATTGAACTGGGTATCCCCTTTAAATTTAAAGTGCATACAAAGGCTAAAAAATTTTTTCGGCAATGGGAAGGGTAACACTAGAACAAAAAGGAGGTTGGGGGGGTTTAGGTTAAGGGGAGCGGGGGGGCCATAAAAAAGATATTGTTGTCCCCCAAAAAAAAAATACGCTGAAAAAACATCCTGCAGTGTGAGTAGTGTTTTAATATCATTTAACTGTGATGTTGATGTATTTAACAAAAATTCATTTACATGGTACTGCACTGAGCTGTGATTTATTAATGTTATTCTATAAACAATATTTATTGATATTTGTGAATTTTTATGCAAATTTTAGTTTATTCTCCGCTATAAGTTGAGTCAGGATTTGGATAAATTAAGATTACAGTGAAATATGGATTAATTGACAAAACTTTGAAATTTACACAAAAAAGTCATTTAGAATACTGTAACCCAACGAATATTCGCGACCAATTAATATTCGCTTTATTCGCGGATGGCCGCGAAGCGCGAATATTTGTTTGCGCGAATAAGTCCGCACGATTTCGCAATAAATTGGAGAGAAATTTTTATTTTAGACGTTGTTCATGCAAAGCTACTTGACCGGATATATTCGAATTTTACGGGCACCTGTTAGGAAGTAATGAATTGTTATGAATATTGCCATAAAGCAATTAAAGCACAAACTAAGTAAACTACTTCTATTTTATAAATATCAAAAGAACTCTAATGTCAATATAGCAATCAAAAATAAACATCCACATTTTAATACAGTTTATGAAATACTAGTAGGGCCTATTGTCATCACGTTCCGTATAGGTAACTATACGGAGCATGTGTCAGTTTATTAATCGTTTGACAAAAGTGGGAAAACTATCGAGCATCACAAAAGGCTATTGTTTTTTTTATCCTATGAAATAATTGTTTGAGTGAATTGTTAAGACAAAGGTGGTATAAACCTATCGAGCATCACAAAAGGGTATTGGGTGTACATAATTACAAACAGTGAAATACAAGATGGTTTTGTACTACATGTACATATATGGAGAAAATGTTTGCTGAATTGTGATCACAATTCACTTTCCAATACAATATAAGGCTAGCGTTATATTAATCCCATTTAAGACACCAATAATGACCTCAATTATTGAAGATTAATAGTCGGCTTATGGATTTTACGGCCCCATCGGACTTTCCAATCCGCGAATTTTTTTTTTTCGGAAATCAAGAAAACGCGGAAATTAATATTCGCGAATATGTCCGACCTCGGCAAAACGCGAAAATTTGTATTCGCGAATATAAATTGGGTTACAGTAATCACATAAAGCTTATTATTTTGTGATTATTTTCAAAATAATTTATGTATTTGTTTCCCTGAATGTACCAAAACATATTGTTTTGGTGAATACCATCTACTTTAAATTCTGTGTTATATTCATCCACTTTAATTCAGTGTTTATTATTATAATGTGTAAAATTATATTTATTAAATTGATTATGTCAAATTAAACAGGAGCAATGGTCTAGTGGTTTAGGTGTCTACCTATCATCACAGAGATCATAGGTTTGAGCCCTACAAGTATTACTATTGTACATCTCCTCATACATCACCACTTACCAGTACTGATTTACTCAAGGTAGCGGACCGCAAGAGTGGTTCAAATCAACTTTAATCTTATGTCACAATGAAGCATTAAATGATTTGTTTCAACTATTTGTTTTCTATTAATTTACAGGATGTGACATTACAGTCACAACAAGAGAGGATGGACTTTGTACGCAGCAGAATTACAGATGTTAATATGAACCTGAAAACACTCATGCAAACTTCAGAATCTGTAAGTGTTTTTGTCATTTTTTAAAGAAAATTGAGCCGCGTCACGACAAAACCAACATAATGGGTTTGCGACCAGCATGGATCCAGACCAGCCTGCGCCTCCGCGCAGTCTCATCAGGATCCATGCTGTTCGCTATCTGTCTCTCTACTTGTAATAGGGTTTGCAAGCAAACAGCATGGATCCTGATCAGACTGTGTGGATGCGCAGGCTGGTCTGAATCCATGCTGGTCGCAAACCAACTATGTTGGTTTTGTCATGACACAGCTCAGTATTGTGATTGAAAATTATGCTTTTTTCATCTGCTTGCTTAAGCTGAATAGGTAGAGAATGAGATTTGTAATCAAGTAACAAGTAGTCACTAGTTCAATTCTCAGGCAAGGTCTCTTGTCTGTGATAATTGATCTAGGAATATGAGTCTGTTCATCATTTGTCTCTCACCACTTATTCAGAAAGTATAATTAGTAGTTGCTCACCTGCAGAGAAATTGGTAATTACTGGTTAATTATCCAGGAAAGGCAGACAGGTGGACAGAGATATAACCATAAATGTGTTAATACAGCATTAATGTAAATAAACGAAATTGATATTATATTTTCAAAGCAGTATAATTATGTTTTTTGCATTTTAAAGCTGATTCATTTTTCATTGAATCAAATACATGAAATTCAATATGTAGTTATGAATAAGTAATATATGATCTTAAGCCTGACCTCTAAAGCCTACCCTCTAGACTGTCGTTTAAGCCTTAACTCTGGGATGTTGTTCAAGTCAGTCTTCTAGGTTATCGCTTAAGCCTATGAATATGATGACACAGATTTTCAAACTTATTTTTATGCCACCGCAGCATCTGCGATGCGGTGGCATATAGCGATTCACCTGTGTGTGTGTGCGTGTGTTTGTGTGTGTGTTTGTGTGTGTGTTTGTGTGTGTGTTATATAGATTATATAGTGAACTTAAAAAATCTTCTTGTGAAAAACCACTAGTCCAATTTCAACCAAACTTGGCAGGATTGTTCCTTGGGTGAAGGGCTTCCAAAGTTGTTCAAAGAATTTCAATCCATGCAGAAATCTGGTTGTCATGGCAACCAAAAGGAATTATAAGAATAAATTTAAAAAATCTTCTTGTAAAGACCCAAAAGGCCTAGAGCTTAGATATTTTGCATAAGGCATTGTCTGGTAGACCTCTAACAAGATTGTTCAAATTATAGCCCTGGGGTCAAAATTGGCCCCGCCCCGAGGGTCATTGATTTTCACTATGTACATATAGTAAAAACTTAAAATACCTTCTTGTAAAAACCCAAAAGGCCTAGAGCTTAGATATTTTGGCATAAGGCATCTTCTGGTAGACCCTTACCAAGATTGTTCAAATTAATAGCCCTTGGGTCAAAAATCGGCCCCGCCCCGGGGTCATTGATTTTCACTATATGTACATATAGTAAAAACTTAAACACCTTCTTGTAAAGACCCAAAAGGCCTAGAGCTTATATATTTTGCGTAAGGCATTGTCTGGTAGACCTCTACCCAGATTGTTCAAATTATAGCCCTGGGGTCAAAATCGGCCCCGCCCCGGGGGTCATTGGTTTTCCTTATATGTATTAGTAAAAACTTATAGTAAAAACTTCAAAAAAAATTCTTCTAGCAATTGACAAATGCTAGAGGTTAGATATTTTGCATGAAACATTGTGTAGTAACCTCTAGCAAGATTGTTCAAATTATAGCCCTGGGGTCAAAATTGCCCCTGCCCTTGGGGGTCATTGATTTCAATATATACATATAGTAAAAAATAAATAAATCTTATTGTCTGAAGGTACAAGGCTTAGAGCTTTAATATTTGTTAAATTATATCATCTGAAGGTACTCCACAAAATTTATTCAAATTTTGCCTCTTGTGTCAAAATTAGCCCCGCCCCCTGGTGGCCATAGGTTTTCCTTATATGTATATAGTACAAACTTAAAAAATCATCTTCTCTAAATTTTTACAAGGCTAGAGTTAAGATATTTTTGCATGAAACATTGTGTAGTGAACCTCTGTCAAGATTTGTTCAAATTATAGCCCTGGGGTCAAAATTGGTTCCGCCCCGGGGGTCATTGATTTTCATTATGTACATATAGTGAAAAAATAAAAAATATTTTTGTCTGAAGGTACAAGGCATAGAGCTTTGATGTTTGATATATAATATCATTTATAGGTCCTCTACCAAAGTTGTTCAAAATTTTCCCCTGGTGTCAAAATTGGCCCTGCCCGGAGGCAGTGATTCTCATTATGTACACACAGTAAAAACAGAAAATAAAACAAATGTTTTCTGAATGGGAGAAAGCTATAGCTTAGATATTTGACTTGAAATGTTGTTTGGTGGACCTGTATCAAAATTGTTTTGAATTAAACCCTTGGGTCAAAATTATGCCTTGCCCAAGGGGACAGTGACCTACTTTCTTGTCCTTTGATGTACAGCAATGACATTTTGACCATGTGCACAGTTTTAGTTGTAAAATTGAACTTTGATATCAGGTGACCTAGATTTTGATGATGTGACCTACTTTCTTGTCCTTTGGTGTACAGCTATGAAATTTGAACCATGCGGTGGCATAGCATTTTTCTCAAATGCAATCTTGTTCTTTATGTTTGTAACACAGGTCTGACTTGTTTATTTATTGCTGCTTGCTCTCTTTGGATAAATTGTTCTAGTCAGAGAAGAAGCATGCAAATGTTATTAAAAGTAGATAATTAAGAATTAAATGTTCTGTTTTTTTTTAACAGGGATTTCCAGCTCATATGAATCTTGCCATTAGAAGTAGTGCATTTCCTGATGATAAGGCAACGAAATGGCTCAAAGAGCAAAATAAACAGCTTACTCAGGTATGTTTATAACTTAATATTATATAATTCAATGCTTGTGTAAAAAGATACCAGTTAAGGCTTAGATTTAGATATTTTATTGTTACTCATCAATAGATGTTTTTGTTTGGTATTACGGCGCCCCAACACAATTTGGATCAAACGGCACTGAAACATGAAAGATGATTTGACTAACCTCGGGTCTATCAAAGCAACACCTGGGATCAAATCTGCCTCTCCTGCTGGAGCTAAGAGATGCATAGACTCCAATTATTCGAACCAGTTTAGGCGCTTCTTACGTGGGATAAATAGTAACTGCAGTTCTTATGCTTCAACAATTAAAGGCAACCCCTTGGGCACAAGGGGGTTCTCATCAAAAGATAATCAGGAAATCTAGATCACATTGAGTATGACTTTGTCATAGATTATTTTTCAAGTTCATAGAGTTTCAGGAGTGTTAAGTTAAATTTCAGATATTTCCTTCATTTTTATAAACACTCAGTAATATCAAAGCAAGACATTATTCAGTACACCTTCTTGTCTATATAATTAGTGTGTACATTGACTTCTTCAGCCAATCAAAGCAAGGCTTTCCAATGCATTTTCTTGTCTGTACATGCACATTGGCTATTAATACCTAAGCCATTCAAGCATACTGGTTTTGTATTTGTTATTTTCAGGAAGTGGGGTCAAAGAGTGACAGAATTACACAGCTAGAGAAAGAGAAGGCTAGTCTTATCCGAGATCTGTTTGAAGCCAGGTCAAAACATAAAACAAACTATGATGATACAACCTTCATGTGATATTACACGTTTCACACATTATATGTGTCTTCTTTTGTGTTAAGTGTGTGAAATGTATGTTACGAACAGACAGAAGATGCTCTTTGTATTTGAATGTTTAAGTGTTTGTAAACCACGGCATTGAAAACTGGATCAGATCCATTAACCCAATGGTGCCTTTCCTCAAGAAAATTGGAAACGGACATGTAGACAGTGCTATAGATATTCACCAAAATGAAGAATATAAAAGTGTCTACTGGAGTGCAGACCTTAAGTTGGACACAGTTAATAAAGCAATATTCCCAAAAAAGCCTAGCTTGACACCTTGTGTTTGGGGTTAAGCTATAATTGTGATTTTTGGAGGAAGTTTTGATATAATCAATTCTTTGTATAGCATTTATTTTTGTATTGTTTTATAATCTATGCAAGCTAAATCTTTATATTTCTAAGGCTTTTTTTATAAGGCTTTTGAATAATGTTTTGATACATGTATTTTATAACTGAATAGCTGTCCTTGAATTACATTAATTTTTTCTCAAGGAAAATAATTCATGGGTATTATCACTAGGTTCTCAAAAAAAAACAAGATAAAAAAGTATTTAATTTTAACAATTGTCATTTTTGGTGTGGTTTGAGTTTTTATCAAGGTTGTGGTAGGTGTTTTTTTTCCGTCCAGTTTAGTTGTAGGTCATTTGTTCTCCATTGCTGATATATGTGTGGCAGTATGAGAAATATAGATGTTATTACACAATGCTGTTTAAAGCCTGGAAGATAAATGCCCAATTATGACAGGAGCTCTTTTAGAAATGGTGTGCGGCAAGAAGAAACAAATGTATATCAGAACTTAAGATTTACAATAATTCTGCAGTTTTTCAGGGACAGGAATCTTAACATTAAGAAAGTTATGATATTTGCATTTTCACATTATATGCATGCTTAAAGGTAAAGGTGTTTCATATTTAATTTATAATTATGTACATACAATTACGTACTTAAGAACAGAAGGGTACTTAAGAACAGAAGGGGATGCATCCATGGCTGAGTAATTAAGACTTAAATCTTTTGCACCCCATCTGCTGTTGGTTCAATCCTGCAAGAGACATGTAATATTGTCATATGTGAAAAGCTATTCAGGTAGCTTTACTAGCTTACTAGTCAGTGGTTCTATTCAGATGCCTACTTTTTAGCTCACCTGACCACGAAGTGGTCATGGTGAGGTATAGTGATGGGGCTATGTCCGGCGTCCGTCGTCGTGCGTCGTTCGTCGTCAACAATTGGGTTGTTAACAGTCTAGCAGTCACAGTTTTGATTGGATCATCATCAAACTTTGTCAGAATGTTTGTCTCAATGAAATACAGATCGAGTTCGAAGATGGGTTATCTCAGGTCAAAAAACTAGGTCACAGGAGCTAAAAATAGAAAAAGCTTGTTAACACTCTAGAGGCGGCAGTTTTCATCCAAATATTCTGGAAATTTGTCAGGAAGGTTGTTTTGATGATATCTAGGTCAAGTTCGAAGAAGGTCAAGTTCGAAGATGGGTCATCTCCGGTCAAAAACTAGGTCACAGGAGCTAAAAATAGAAAAAGCTTGTTAACACTCGAACAATTGGGTTGTTAACAGTCTAGCAGTCACAGTTTTGCTTGGATCATCATCAAACTTTGTCAGAATGTTTGTCTCAATGAAATACAGATCGAATTCGAAGATGGGTTATCTCGGGTCAAAAACTAGGTCACAGGAGCTAAAAATAGAAAAAGCTTGTTAACACTCTAGAGGCTGCAGTTTTCATCCAAATATTCTGGAAATTTGTCAGGAAGGTTGTTTTAATAATATCTAGGTCAAGTTCGAAGATGGGTCATCTCGGGTCAAAAACTAGGTCACAGGAGCTAAAAATAGAAAAAGATTGTTAACACTCTAGAGGCTGCAGTTTTCATCCAAATATTCTGGAAATTTGTCAGGAAGGTTGTTTTGATGATTTCTAGGTCAAGTTCGAAGATGGGTCATCTCGGGTCAAAAACTAGGTCACAGGAGCTAAAAATAGAAAAAGCTTGTTAACACTCTAGTGGCTGCTGTTTTCATCCAAATATTCTGGAAATTTGTCAGGAAGGTTGTTTTGATGATTTCTAGGTCAAGTTCGAAGATGGGTCATCTCAGGTCAAAAACTAGGTCACAGGAGCTAAAAATAGAAAAAGCTTGTTAACACTCTGGTGGCTGCAGTTTTCATCCAAATATTCTGGAAATTTGTCAGGAAAGTTGTTTTGATGATTTCTAGGTCAAGTTCGAAGATGGGTCATCTTCAGTCAAAAACTAGGTCACAGGAGCTAAAAATAGAAAAAGCTTGTTAACACTCTAGTGGCTGCAGTTTTCATCCAAATATTCTGGAAATTTATCAGGAAGGTTGTTTTGATGATATCTAGGTCAAGTTCGAAGATGGGTCATCTCCGGTCAAAAACTAGGTCGCAGGAGCTAAAAATAGAAAAAGCTTGTTAACACTCTAGTGGCTGCAGTTTTCATCCAAATATTCTGGAAATGTGTCAGGAAGGTTGTTTTAACAATATCTAGGTCAAGTACGAAGATGGGTTATCTCCTGTCAAAAACTAGGTCACAGGAGCTAAAAATAGAAAAAGCTTGTTAACACTCTAGTAGCTGCAGTTTTCATCCAAACATTTTGGAAATTTGTCAGGAAGGTTGTTTTGATGATTTCTAGGTCAAGTTCGAAGATGGGTCATCTCAGGTCAAAAACTAGGTCACAGGAGCTAAAAATAGAAAAAGCCTGTTAACACTCTAGTGGCTGCAGTTTTCATCTAAATATTCTGGAAATTTGTCAAGAAGGTTGTTTTGATGATTTCTAGGTCAAGTTCAAGGATGTGTTATCTCCGGTCAAAAACTAGGTCGCAGGAGTTAAAAATAGAAAAAAGCTTGTAAACACTCTAGTGGCTGCAGTATTGAGTCAAATATTCTGGAAATTTGTCAGGACGGTTGTTTTGATGATTTCTGGGTCAAGTTCAACGATGGGTCATCTTAGGTCAAAAACTCGGTCACAGGAGCTAAAAATAGAAAAAGCTTGTTTACACTCTAGTGGCTGCAGTTTTGATTTAAATATTTTGGAAATTTGTCAGGAAGGTTGTTTTGATGATTTCTGGGTCAAGTGCTAAGATTGGTCATGTCCGGTCAAAAACTAGGTCACAGGAGCTAAAAATAGAAAAATCTTTTTAACACTCTAGTGGCTGCAGTTTTGATCCAAATTTCCTGGAAATTGGTCAGGAAGGTTGTTTTGATGATTTCTAGGTCAAGTTTGAATATGGGTTGTGTTCTGTCAAAAATTAGGTCACATTGCCCAAATATGGAAAAATCTTTATAACACACTAGAGGTCACATGTTTGACTCAGTTGTCATCAAACTTGGCCATGATGCTTGTTTAAGACATTGCTTGGATGCGGTTGTGTCAGGTGAGCGATCCAGGGCCATCATGGCCCTCTTGTTACAGAAATGATACTAATACAAAGTGGCATCTGAGATCTTACTCTTACAATCCCACGGGGAAGTAACCAGATGAACTATATAGGGTCATTGTGACTTAAAAGCCAACCCAAAATATACCAACAGGAAAAATTAACGTACTGCAAGCTTGTGATATTTATTTATATTCATGCAGTCCATAAATAAAATTTTCTATGATCTTATAATTTTATGTCTCTACTAAGGGATGTTGGTTGGCATATAGGATTGCCCTTGTCCATACATCACGCCAACTGACAAAACAGTGAATTGTGGGGCCATCCATGTTGATATGGATACATTTCTACTTTTTGTCATTATATTTATTGTAAATTTTTACTTTGCAGTTTTACATTATGATATAGTGTTTATGCCAAAGAAACTATGTTGCTTTTTTTCTTGAGTTTTGGGGTTTGTTTTTTTTTCATTTTGTACAAAAAAGAAACGACTGCTGTATTTAAAAGGAAATTTTTGATTTTGGAAAATATTTATTTTATAAACAAAAACTCTTACATTACTATTATTTACTTGAACTCTGAATTTCTTGAAGATGCTTACATATTGGAGGGAGTTTTTGGTAGCATGATCATATTGTCACCTTAGTGCAATAACAGGTTAACTGCTATTAAGTTATGTAAAGAGTTAGCCTGTTACTGCACTAAGTTGATGATATTAACTTGTTTTTATAAATATTATATACTTGTTGAACTCAATAGTTTTATAGAAGACTTATTTACTTGTTTACCCTCCTGCTAGCCCATGCCATTTTCAGTAGGGTAGGTAAAGATAGGTAAAATATCTTTTTCGCAAATTTTTTTTCCTATCTAAAATTTTATGAAATTCAAAAAAAAAGTGTGAATGCTTAGCATCTGTTTTAAAGACGTTTTCGGTAGTTTTCTGTGCGCATCGTTATGCGCATCCAAGAAAGATAATCACGGATAATTAATCTTCAAATGAAGGTCAAGTTGAATAGTATTCGGATAAGTGTTTAAATTTCGGCTATAAGCAAATAATGAGTAAATAATACAGAATAGATATTTCTAAATGTTCAAAAAGGAGATTGGTTCAAAAGAATAAGAATAGACAACATCACATAAAGGATTTCTCCAAGCATTAGTACGACAGCATTGATGATAATTCTGCGCGCGTTACCCCACCCACTTGTGGTATATTGACAAAAGTGCGTCGCGACTTGATTACTGGCAGACAACTGGGCAAAGAAGTTTAAAATGATATATTTTAAAAGTGTTGAATTAAAAAAACAAAATTAATATCCAAGAAATGTTCAGAATTTCATTTTTTTCTTTGTAAATTTATGAATACTTGCTTACTGTTTGGGTATGTTAGTCGAGTGAAAAAATAATAGAAATGTTTTAAAAAAATATTCAGTATCATTTACTTAATATAACATCAAAAGAAAAAGATTTTCTTATTACAACATGTTTTATATTTGACAATACATTTAGTATAACACTGATATTTCTTAAGAAAGCGTGGTAATTTGGACAGTTGGCATATGCGGTAACCATGGAAACTGCCCGTTTACAAAAAACTAACACTTCAACATATATATTTTATTTCTATTTTTGAATCCACAATCAAATATTACTTGATATATCAATAATGTAGAAAATTCTATAAAAGAAATTTCTTGATAGCTTTAATTTTTTATAGAAAATTTTCATGTTTATTTTTCTCATTTTTTGTTTAGTTAAAAAGCATGAAAACTCATTTTTTAAAGAAATATGTTCAAACTATCGTTTGTTTTTATACAGAACCCTTAGATAAAGCAAGCTTTGTATAAAATTATGTTTATTGTGAGTGTAATAAGCTATTTTATACATTATCATAATACAGTTTGGCTATTTTGACAATTTTGAGATATACGGTTACCATGGAAACTGCCATTTTTCAAAAAATCCAACACGCCAACAGATATTTTTCTTTTTCTTTTTGAATTTGTCATTAAATTTTACACAATATACAAAAAAAAATAGAAAATCCTATGAAACACTTTTTTCAATATCTCTAATAATTCTGAGAATTCATGTTCATTTTTCTCATTTTTTGTTCGGTTGAGGAACATGAAAAAC